ATGACAGATCATCACCAATTGGTTGCTGTGGGTTAATGTTTTGCACATTGTTAAATCTCTGCCTTAAGGTGGACCTGACTTGTTACAATGTATAGCAACAGTATCATTTGTCCACAATATCTACACTGCCCACCGCACTGCAGCTCCGCACTGAGGATCCAGCATAACACTAGCAAATGGTGAGCGCTCATTGGTTAGCAACGTCACATGACCATGCTGACCAATGGCAAGTGCTTCTTATATCTGGGTTTTGGTCCCAGGTTTAAAAGCTTCCTCAGTGTGTGGCTGCAGTGGCGTGTCTAATGTACAGACCGTACTGCAGTTAGCGGTGGGGGGGGGGGGGGGGGGTTCCGCATGCATGTAAAAGGTATGAACAGAGGAGGGGGGATTCCCTGGGTAAGTTAATTTTGTTACATTCTTTACTCTTGAGACAAGGTACCTTTAAAGCTCAACTTTGGTTTCCCCCAACAGAGGACGTCTTCCCTCCTTGAAGGCCATTCTCTGTATGTACTAATACACTGTGGGCACAGGGTTCCGTGGTCTACGATTCAACGCACTCACAGTATGTCCTCTGACGCTATGCATCAGTCAACCCGAAAGACTGAGACCATCTTGTGATAGATCAACGAGCCTTGGCCTCCAATGACCCTTTCACCGGTTCACCAGTTTTCTTTCCTTGGACCACTTTTGACCACTGCAGACCAGGAACATCCCACAAGAGCAGCAGTTTTGAAGTTGCAATAACCCAATCATCTAGCCATCACAATTTGACCCTTGTCAAAGTCTCCCAAATCCTTACACTTGCCCATGTTTTCTGCTTCCAGTACATCAAATTCAGGGACAAAATGTTCACTTGGTGCCTAATAAAGCCCCCCACTTCCAGGTGCCATTGTAATATATCTCACCCACTTCCAGGTGCCATTGTAATATTTCCCCGCCACTTACAGGTGCCATTGTAATGAGATAATCAATGTTATCACTTCACCTCTCAGTGGTCATAATGTTATGGTGGCTGATCGGTGTAGACTGCCATTGTTGACCTCTACCTATAAAAATACCAGTTCTAGTTTTCTTTAAAAAGGTCTCTCGTCTTCCTCCGCCACCGAGATTGTGAATTATGAGCCCCTTTCCAGCTTCGCAATCCAGGTTCATTACCCTGCAAATCTACGGTTGAGTCTGGGGAGAAATCCCTCTACTGCCCCCTTAATAAACCAGGCCTGGATTATACGGCTCAATGCATGCATTACCTTCTCCCTCTCTCCTCTTTGAAACAGGAAAAAGGGAGAGCTGGCAGCACAGAGTGTGTAAATTCACATCAGCGCGGTCTCAGTTACGAACGCCGTTGGCATCTTACTTATTCAACACAGGCAGCCAAAACAGCAGCAGTTTGGCCAGCACATTCTGATAGGAAGAGGAAAAAAAAGAAGGTAATGATTTTTACTTTGAGTGAACACAAGCTGTAATACAGATGTAGATCCAAGTGCCTCTCTGGTAATGATATAATATTACGGGGATCAAATGAGGGTCCTCTGTCTGTGCTGGCATGGAGGCTGCAGATAAGAAATATATCTTGTGTGCCGAAATACACCGTGTGATATGAACAGAGCTAAGGTGGTGGTGGTGGTGGTGGTGGTGGTGGGGGGGGGGTTGTGATGATTGGTGGCATAAAATCCAGGTATATGCAGAATTGAAACACATATTGACTTTTTAAAGGGGTTGGACCACAGATGGGCAAGGGGGGGGTAAGGGTAGGTTAGGGACCGCATTGACAAAGGTGTATCTTTAAATCTTTTTAAAGTATTGGAGGGTATGGAGTATGCAAGTACAAATCCGAATTCCCCGTAACCTCCCCCTGGCTACCATCCCGGTGTTGTCCGCTCTGTACTGTGCCCCGCTCATCTGCACTGTAGATATACTGTATGGAGCTGAGTGCCAATGGGGCTGCCCAACATATTGCTTCAGGGCAGTCCCAGCCTTCTATGTACAATACAAAGAGCCTTACACAGGGCACAGCCTGAGAGGTCACTTCCCGTCATCCTCAGTACTGCCATCCACACATCTTTCTTCTGGCAGGAGTGGGGGACACACTGAAGATTAAGAGATTGCACCCCGTAGAGGCAGCCAGACTGTCTACACACAAAGTTGGTGACTCAATGTATGTATGTGTAGGGACTCAGGGAGTCCTAATACTCCATGAGGTGAGGGGGGTGCAATACTTGCCTTGCCCCGAACGCTGACAACCTTCACTACGCCACAGGCCCTACAGGCAAGGGTTAATTTTTAAAAGTCCTGGAGTCCTCCTTTAAACGAGCACGTGCGGCCGCTGCATTGTGTGTGCACTCACCTCTCACTTCTAGATGTCATTGTGCATTGCGGAGAGCGGTGCTGTGCTATGCATGTGCTGCCATTGCTGACTAGATATCAGTGGAGGAAGATTAATTAGTAAGGCTAGGGGCCTGGGGATTCATCCTGTGATTAATGAGGCTTTAAACCAGCAGTTCATTTGTAAGTCACAGTTTAGTCTAGCCCATCAAAAATCAGCCTTCTTCTTTTTTTCAAGTCCTGATAAGGTGGTAAATCATATTAAGGGGGTAAAAAAGTGGAAGTGTATCATTAGAACTTTTTTCCCCATAAAACTTCAATTGAAAGTTTTAGTGGAAATGCTGTAGCAGAATAAAGCCTTGATAAAACAAATGTTCTCATATCCCGGAAATAAGAGGATCATTCCTCATTTCTGGACAGTTGGTGGAGTCATGCAAATAATCGCTTTAAACCCCATCAGCCAGATGCACATTCAAAACTGCTGGTGTATAGTAGAAATAAGCCTAATATTAATGAGCCATATATCTCAAACTGCATATAGCTGTTTCAAGCTATCTGGTCATATGGTCCCATTGGGTTCCAAGCCCTACTCCATAGAAGTAGGGATCCACTGATACCATTTTTCCAGACCAACTATGAGTACCAATAAGTACTCGCTGATACCAATTACCGATACTTTTTTTAGTGTCATGTGACAGTTTTTTTTGTAAAACAATACAGACTAATGATTTTAGGATAGTGGTGAAGTGCCAGGCCCCGGTCCCAGCTGCAAACGATGCACCCCAAATAGTTCTACCACTACCAAGCTGTAGAGGGACCACAAATCCCAGAAATATATTATACAGCAATGCAGGATATTACCATCAGTTACAGAGGACTTGAAATCCCAGCAATATATTATATATTATATTTTATATAATTCACTAGTCTAATTACAATTCTACTATCTACTACAACTACTCAACTACTACAACTACTATCCGCCGCCGCCACCCCCCAGCGCGCGGTGCTCGACTTACCCAGCCAGGGAGTTTCTATGTGTGCACTGCAGGGGGCGGGGCTTGTGACACACACACGCCTCCTCCTGTGACTCACCTCCCCTCCCGCCGCCTGTTACTATGGACGCGGCCGGGAGGGGAGGTGAGTGACAGGACCCGCCCCCTCACTGTGAAGCCTGTCGGCAGTGCAGGGCCATATATTGCAGGACCGCGCTGAGGCTGTGGGGGTACCCAGGACCGGACCGGACCCCACTGGGCCCCCCCACAGCCTCAGGCCCCGGCACCGCCTGCACCGGCGGTAGTTCCGCCACTGGTGAAGCATCTCCATGCAATGTTTGGGAAGCCAAAGGTCCCTTCATCCGGCACACAGAAATGACACTAACACATATGGAATAAGAGGTTTAGGGGTATAGATAGACCTATGTTCAGTTTGATATTTTTATATGCCCTGATGAGGGGGGGTTTTTTTGCCCCCCGAAATGCCATGGCTGCCCTTATTAGCCTATTATTAGAAAAAAAAACCTAACTAAATAATTTTTGGCAATGTTTGGTGCAGTAGTGAAGCAGGGAGCCTGGCAGGTGGTCATGTGACCACTCGCCCGACTTCCTGATTGGATGGGAAGCCGCAGCCATGCTCTCTCGCAGCTTCCAGGGCACTGAGGACTGCAACTGTTATGTGAGGAATGTAAGTGGCAAGTGCTGCTGCGCTCTGTATTGCTGAGCCAGTGACAGAGATTATGATCTCTCCACGAGCTCAGTGACTAAAAACATGGTGCCTGCTGTTGCGGTTTCGGTGTTGCGCTTGGGGTGCTTAGGTTGCCCAGTCACACCTGGCACAACTTGTGGACACGGCTATGCTGATAGCGTGTTCCTAAAGTACAACCAAAGGCTTCTGTATAATGATCTAAACACTGAATCCAGTTACTACGTGATGCACAAACCTCATAAAGTAAACATACAATGTCCTTATCCTTCTATGACTGAGCCACATCCTCCTTCATATCTGCCTTATATGCTCCCCCTCCTAAACACTGCAGGTCATAGTACTCAAGTCTATCGATCTTAAAGCAGTGGGCAGGACTTGCATGTGGCCAGGTGCTGATTGACAAGCCACAGGCTTGTTAATCAGCAGTGACAACAGCGGTGTCACCAGGCCGGGTGCCACCCGGTATGCATGTCCTTATGTATGCACGTGACGTCATTAGGCACGCGCGTAATGATGTCAGGTGCATGTCACTGCTAGTTGCCATCATGGGGGATAAAGTATGCTGACGGTTCCCCTCCTGTCTCGTGCAGCTGTAGGGCTCTTGGTCCATAACCGAGTACCTGACTTTTAAGAGTGGTGACACCAAAATGACTGTCGGTTATGGTCACCATGTGACTGTGTCACATGGTGCGGGCCGCGAGCAGTGCAGCATTGTTGTCACACTATCATAGGAAGATGCATTAGGTGGACTTCACTGGCAGGGTCAACAGGGATTTCTGGAACTTTGAAAGAAGACTGTAATACAGATGCACTTATAATTGAGTGCTCCACCACATTTCTTCTCTAAAGTGAAATGTTGTGTACTATATTACCCAAAAAGAAAGACGGTAACATTTAAGTTGATGTTTTTAATATTTTTTTGGAATTGCCCGTTACAATTTAGTTGGCATTTTTTATAATGTCACTGTGCACCGTCACACTGGCAGAGGACTGACAGATAGTAACTCCACCGCTTCCTCATTGCTGAAGGAATCTTCTCGAGCAGCATAATCCCGAACGTTGGGAAGGTTGGGAATGGTACAGCAGCTCAGGGCGCTACGGACGATGTTCATGCTGTGGATGTCGTACCACTCGTTTGTCTTATCATCGTAGCATTCAGCCTCAGAGGTGGTGTCAGTTCCATTGAAACCTCCGATCACATAAAGACGGTTATCCAGGACTTCGATCCCAAAGTTGCTGCGACCAGTGAACATAAGTGGTATCTCGTGCCAAGTGTTGTTGGCTGGGTTATATGCTTCTGCAGTCCTCAATCTTTCATTGCCGTCAAATCCTCCAACCTGTAAGAAATAACAAATGTTAGTCTACTCCTTAATGTGCCAAATATGTTTCATAATGATGATCTGTGTGGTCGTGAAGATCCCCATAGCTGAAGTATATAAATATGGCAGCTGCCTTTGATGACCTGTTTTTGAAGGTAAACTTGAACTGCACTCATAAAGGTTCATTCTAGGGAAGCCCAACCAGAGCCATCACCAATAGATGATTCGAGGGCCCCCTAAATCGGGAGTTAAGGTCACTTAGGACTTTAACAGTTTTAAATGGAGTACAGCTTATGATGACTTTTGGTACATTTATTAAGTCTATAAGCCTCCGTGCCCACCCCCACGCCAGATTTAGGTTCACTTTATTACTGGGTTGTAACTGTTTCCTCAGGTGACACCTCAACATTTTGGATTGTCCTTCACTTTCAGTGAAAGTGGTCACCAGGACAAATAGTGAGGGTGAATCTCCCTAAGAAGGTTACAGAAAATCTGTGTGAATACAGCCCTCTCTGTTAGGGCTCTTCTGCTGTACTACTTAGACAAATTGCACAGCAGTGTAACAAAGGAGAACTGTATGTGTATATGCACCACTAACAGCCTATTATTGCATTGGTTCTTCCCAATGTCTTGATAATTGCTTCATAGATGCAGCAACGCATATTTCCCACTCCAGCTAATTTATATACAAAATTACCATTCCACATACCGCATACACTTGATCTCCATAGGCAGCAACTCCAAGACCAGTGCGTTGGGTGCTCATGAACGCAATCATCCTCCATTGGTTGGTTACCGGGCAATACATTTCTGCTGTACTCAAGCATTCGTCGCCATCGTACCCGCCACATATATAGATCTGTAAAAACATATTGAAATGGTTATTCATAACAATGCTAATTGTTCCTCCAATGTCAACAAGAGCAGGGGTTTATCCAGAATGGGAAAAACACCATTTAATGGACATTTAACCAAAATTTTAAAGTGTAACTCCAGCTGACCTTTTGTCAACAAGAGCAAGGGTTTATCCAGAATGGGAAAAACACCATTAAATGGACATTTACCAATATCTTAAGGCATAACCTTAGGTCAAAAAAAAAAGTTCAGCTGAACTTTTTTTGTTTTTAAATATTAATTGCCATGCCCATGTTAAAGTAAAAAAAAAAAAAAAAACGCTCTTGCTGTAATCATCACCGCTAATCTGGCACTGTCCCCACAGGTTTTTTTTTTTTAAAAGTACCTGTAAGTAAAAGTGAAACTGCCGCAGAGAGAGATCATGTCCCCTCTCCTGCCAGGTACAACTGTTCTGTGTAAATGTATGAACTGGATGGACAAACAGACAATTCTTTGGTAGGCAAACCAGCTCTCAGATATGTATTCTATGTGTGTATTTAGCTGTTTGCCTGGAGGTCAGCTTTAAAGGGTAGCTGTCTGGACAGCAATATGGGGACTGCTACTGCTGATCTGTTTACAATGCATGTTTACTAGTGCACATTTTATAGCTGTCATTTCCATCCTTGCTTCACTGCTAGCAAGTACCTGACCTAGAACAAGCATCGGCAGGCAAGTGTATGTAAGTCCAAATGCTTTTTCTATAGGCGCCCTTATCTTACCTTGCCATTAAGAGTGGTGGCCTTTGCATCGCTTCTTTGTTCATTCATTGGAGGAATTAAACTCCATTGGTTTGTTTCTGGGTTGTAACACTCTGCAGAGCTCAGGCGCATGTTGCCATCAGACCCGCCCATGGCATAGATGCAATTGTTCAGGACAGTCACGCTAACGTAGCATCTTTTGCAATTCATTGGTGCAACTTGCTGCCATATGTTACTGACTGGATCAAACCTTGATACGCTGTTGAAATAGTCTATACCATCAAAACCTCCGATGAGGTATACATAACCGTTTAGGTACGCCATGCCATGATAAGCTCTGGGGCTTTCCTCGTCACAAATTACATCAATCCAGCAGCCAGCTCTACAGTCGTAAGACTCAATGGCATTTGTAGGGCTTTCGCCACTCCAGCCGCCGATGGCGAGCAACACTTCACAGGGCAGACGTGGCCTAGTCAGTAGTTTGGTAAAAACAGAGTTGCAGAGTCCATTCATGTTCAGCTTGTGCATAGCTATTGATGCTTCCATAATAATGGCTTTGCATTCTTCGTTGTTATTTACATAGACGTTGGTCTTGACATTGTTTATAAAGTATTCAGATTCCATTAACGCCATTCGAACCTGGTGCAGAAGAATAAAACAAGTTATACAAAGCATATTTCTAATTCTAGACAATTACAGTTTTAAAACCAAATTTAATTTTAACTTAAAATCAACTAAATACACCCTAGGTACATCAAAACAAAAGGCGCTCAATGTCTTACAGTTTAATTTCTTTCTAACATCCCTCGCCCCCCATCCTTTGATATGAACTATATCTTCGTACAATGAGCAAATGGTCTCTTACACCTTACCTTAGGCAAAAGAATGGCAATTTGATGACTACGATCTGCTGGGTTCCGATTAATCCATTTTACAATAGCTTCAAAGACAACCTCTTCCTGCTTAACATTGAGCTCATCTCTTTGAATTAAGTCTTGTAACTCTGTAACTGGCATGTCTAGAAACTCCTCCGAGGCCATCACTACATCCTGGAAGTTACGTAAGATGTATTCATAAGCCTTGTGGCTCAGCTCTGGGCAGCACAAGTGTTTGGAAAGCCTGCTGATGGCAACGCAGTTCTCCGCACACAGTCGGCCAATAAGAAATTTGGAGCACCGGCGGACTACTCCCAGGACATTGAAGCGGTCGGCGGCAATAAAAAGTTTATTGACATTGTCATTGGTGATGGTCACTTTTCGGTGGTAGGCATACTCAATGATCATCCTCATAATGTCTGGAGCGATTTCGGGGATGTTATAGAATTTTTTGTCTTCATCGTTCCATCTTTTGGCAAACAAGGCCCTGTACGGACAAGGTGAACACAAGCACACATTAGAATGAATATTAAGACTATTATAAATTAAACATTTACAAAAATAGGAGTGTTCAGCTACAGTGAACACTTATCCACAGAAGAATGTTATAGGTAATAAAACACAGTAACAAGGATCAGGACTTGTGAATGACATCTCTCATTTGGAGTATCATTACTTCAATGGGTATAGCACACTGCTGATATACAGTAGTACTGTGGATCGAATGCTGAGGGTGAGACTGAGCCTCAGTGACCAGTAAAGGCCAACTGTCACTGGACATTAACAAACTGAAACTCAGTCAGTTAGGAGCACAAGAAACTTTGCTGCCTGAGAGCGCATGCTCATTATAGGCATATACACATTCAGTGTGAAATAAGCCCATATTTTTGGCACCTGGGAGCCCCAGCTGTTGTGTTCTTCAGTTGCAATGGATTTTAAGGACAGAAAACGTTCATGTGTGGAGGATTTTCTGTCCATATAATCCTATGGGCAGAAAAATGTAGCAGGTGGGGTTCCTGGGCACCAAAAATACAGATGTACATAATACTGTAGGCCTATACGCTTGTATTTCTGCTCTTGTGCTTGAGTGCTAATAAAAAAAGGAAATAGTAAACATTTTTTGGTTCTTGATGTTGGGCTCGTAAACACTTTAGAGTATAGATTTACTGATGTGGTATAGCTTTACACAAGGTTATATCAGGTTGTTAGCAAGCTTGACTAGAATTGAATGGGGCTTTAAGAAAATTGCTTAAAGCTTGCAAAATGCCTGGCAGATGCTTCATAAATGCCTGCTGCACATCATGACCTTCATAGTGGCCTTCACAAGCTGGGCAAATAACGTCTCTAGGTACAAATGCTTACCTAAAGTAAGAGCTACATCCAGAAAGGATGATCTTATGAACTCTGAACTCAACGTCATCCACCTTAATGATGGCATCACAAAACTGGTCCTCCAGCCTCAGGTCATTGAATACAGACCAAGCTGTGGTACTAATTTTGCATTCCATGCTGTCAATATCGATATCGAATGATAGCGACAGGAAGGCTTCAGTTAAGTCTACATAGCAAGCTCTGGAGCTCCTGCCCTGTTCATTTCAGCTGAGATGTTTGAACTGAAATGGTGATGCAGGGCTTTTTAAACTGCCAATGTCACCAACTGGAGTTCCATATTTCGAACCGACCAATCAGATGCCACTTAACTACCGGTCATTTTGGGCAACACTTTTTGATTTTTCTTTAACTTGACATTCAGGCAATACCAATATACAGAGGTCACTGTATATACAGAATACACATGGATATGGGAATTGTTAGCGACCTGTACACACACACACACACACACACACACACACATATAGGTTGAACTAGATGGACCTATGTTTTTATTCCGCCTTACCTGCTATGTAAATATACTGTAGATGTAACTTTAATTTTATGTGCTTACAGATAACCTGTTGCTTTGCCCATGTTAGACAAACCTAACTCCTCAGCTAATACGTATCCTCTATTTGGCCTCTTCTCACACCATTTGCCCCGCAATGACCTAAGTTGTAAGCTCTGTGTAAGCTCCATGTCGGTCTGTGTCATGGACCCAAGGCTCTGGTACCTCCCCCACTCTCATGTGACATTGTGTTGACTGTGTAATTGGGTGCTCAGGCACCATACACTGCATAATGGGAGAAAGGGGAGACGGTCACATGCTCCTCCATACCCAGAGGTACCAGGTATACCAATGGGCTAAGTTAAGCAGATAAGGATGATTGGAGTGATTTTAGCTAAATTGATTTTGCCAAAATAAAAATCCCTGGAACATAATCTCTTATAGAACTGCTTAGGGAACATTTGCTTGAAAATGGAAATATTTAATTGTTTTTCCTTTATTTATAGGGTTTTTTTGGGGGGTGGGGGATATTCCTGCCAGTAACATACTCCCTGTCCTAGGGTGGCCCCTCTCTCACCCTTCTGTATCTGTGGAGCAGCAGTGTTGTCATCCCAGGTCAGGAACATAGAAGGGATTGTTCTTTAGTGCCCAGAAAGAACTTGTCAGGGCTGATATCGTTGGTTAAGATAAGACTGAGTGCATGTGACAGCAGTGGATTTTTGACAGCACTAAAAATGTATTTCTTGCCCTCAGGTCTGCTGATAGGGGGGTACAGGCAGTACTACTGTGCAAGGCCCAGGCCCGATGAAGCAACATAGGGATCTCAGCAGGTTCTGCCTGTGGGTGGCCCCAGTGCAGCATCAGTACATATAATATACTTACTATTTGCATCGGTTATCAGTCACACTGTCAAACTGGCAGCCAGACGCAACAATAGCAAGCCAGCTGTGCTGAAAGTTCAAATCCAATCATGTCTGTGGCTGGGGTTCAGGGGGGCGCGAAACTTGCAGAGGCTCATTCACTATTTTTACAACCCAGACATGAACTAGACAGTATTCATATTTAACCACATTTCTTTCTTTCTAAACTGAAATGTTGTGTACTATATTACCCAAAAAGAAGGGCGGTAACATTTAAGTTGATGTTTTTTTTTTATTTTTTGGAATTGCTAGTTACAATTTAGTTGGCATTTTTGATAATGTCAGTGTCCTGTCACACTGGCAGAGGACTGACAGATAGTAACTCCCCCACTTCCTCATTGCTGAAGGAATCTTCTCGAGCAGCATAATCCCGAACGTTGGGAAGGTTGGAAATGGTACAGCAGCTCAGGGCGCTGCGGACGATATTCATGTTGTGGACGTAGTACCACTTGTTTGTCCTATCATCATAGCATTCAGCCTCAGAGGTGGTGTCAGATCCATTGAAACCTCCGATCACATAAAGACGGTCGTCCACGACTTCGATCCCAAAGTTGCTGCGTCCAGTAAGCATAAGTGGTATTTGGTGCCAAGTGTTGTTGGCTGGGTTATATGCTTCTGCAGTCCTCAATCTTTCACTGCCATTAAATCCTCCAACCTGTAAAAGACAACAAATGTTAGTCTACTCCTTAATGTGCCAAATATGTTTCATAATGATGATCTGTGTGGTCGTGAAGATCCCCATAGCTGAAGTATATAAATATGGCAGCTGCCTTTGATGACCTGTTTTTGAAGGTGAACCTGAACTGCGCTCATAAAGGTTCATTCTAGGAAAGCCCCACCAGAGCAATCACCAATACATGATTCAAAAGCCCCCTAAATCGGGAGTTAAGGTCACTTTGTAGTCCATTTAAAACTGTTAAAGTCCTGCTCAAGATGACTGTTAGTACCTTTATTAAGCATTAAAGCCTCTGAGCCCACCCCACGCCAGATTTAGGTTCACTTTATTATTGGGTTGTAACTGTTCCCTTAGGTGACACCTAAAAACTTTGGATTGTCCTTCACTTTCAGTGAAAGTGGTCACCAGGACAAATAGTGAGGGTGAATCTCCCTAAGAAGGTTACAGAAAATCTGTGTGAATACAGCCCTCTCTGTTAGGGCTCTTCTGCTGTACTACTTAGACAAATTGCACAGCAGTGTAACAAAGGAGAACTGTATGTGTATATGCACCACTAACAGCCTATTATTGCATTGGTTCTTCCCAATGTCTTGATAATTGCTTCATAGATTCAGCAACGCATATTTCCCACTCCAGGTAATTTATATACAAAATTAACATTCCACATACCGCATACATTTGATCTCCATAGGCAGCAACTCCAAGACCAGTGCGTTGGGTGCTCATGAACGCAATCATCCTCCATTGGTTGGTTACCGGGCAATACATTTCTGCTGTACTCAAGCATTCGTCGCCATCATACCCGCCACATATATAGATCTGTAAAAACATAATTCAATGATTATTCATATCAATGCTAATTGTTCCTCCAATGTCAACAACAACAGGGGTTTATTCAGAATGGGAAAAACACCATTTAATGGACATTTAACCAAAATTTTAAAGTGTAACTCCAGCTGACCTTTTGTTTTATTTTTTAATGTTAATTGCCATGAACTGGATGGACTAAAAAGTCCTTTGGCAGGTAAACCAGCTCTCAGATATGTATTCTATGTGTGTATTTAGCTGTTTGCATGGAGGTCAGCTTTAAAGGGTAGCTGTCCGGACAGCAATATGGGGACTGCCACTGCTGATCTGTTCACAATGCATGTTTACTGGTACACATTTTATAGCTGTCATTTCCCTCCTTGCCTCACTGCTAGCAAGTACCTGACCTGGAACAAGCATCAGCAGGTAGGTGTATGTAAGTCCAAATGCTTTTTCTATAGGCGCCCTTGTCTTACCTTGCCATTAAGAGTGGTGGCCTTTGCATCGCTTCTTTGTTCATTCATTGGAGGAATTAAACTCCATTGGTTTGTTTCTGGGTTGTAACACTCTGCAGAGCTCAGGCGCATGTTGCCATCAGACCCGCCCATGGCATAGATGCAATTGTTCAGGACAGTCACGCTAACGTAGCATCTTTTGCAATTCATTGGTGCAACTTGCTGCCATATGTTACTGACTGGATCAAACCTTGATACGCTGTTGAAATAGTCTATACCATCAAAACCTCCGATGAGGTATACATAACCGTTTAGGTACGCCATGCCATGATAAGCTCTGGGGCTTTCCTCGTCACAAATTACATTAACCCAGCAGCCAGCTCTACAGTCGTAAGACTCGATGGCATTTGTAGGGCTGCCGCCACTCCAGCCGCCGATGGCAAGCAACACTTCACAGGGCAGACGTGGCCTAGTCAATGGTTTGGTAAAATCAGAGTTGCAGAGTCCATTCATGTTTAGCTTGTGCATAGCTATTGATGCTTCCTTAATAATGGCTCTGCATTCTTTACTGTTATTTACATAGATGTTGGTCTTGACATTGTTTATAAAGTATTCAGACTCCATTAACGCCATTCGAACCTGGTGCAGAAGAATAAAACAAGTTATACAAAGCATATTTCTAATTCTAGACAATTACAGTTTTAAAACCAAATTTAATTTTAACTTAAAATCAACTAAATACACCCTAGGTACATCAAAACAAAAGGCGCTCAATGTCTTACAGTTTAATTTCTTTCTAACATCCCTCGCCCCCCATCCTTTGATATGAACTATATCTTCGTACAATGAGCAAATGGTCTCTTACACCTTACCTTAGGCAAAAGAATGGCAATTTGATGACTACGATCTGCTGGGTTCCGATTAATCCATTTTACAATAGCTTCAAAGACAACCTCTTCCTGCTTAACATTGAGCTCATCTCTTTGAATTAAGTCTTGTAACTCTGTAACTGGCATGTCTAGAAACTCCTCTGAGGTCATCACTATGTCCTGGAAGTTATGTAAGATGTATGCATAAGCCTTGTGGCTCAGCTCTGGGGAGCATAAGTGTTTGGAAAGCCTGCTGATGGCAACGCAGTTCTCCGCACACAGCTGGCCAATAAGAAATTTGGAGCACCGGCGGGCTACTCCCAGGACATTGAAGCGGTCGGCGGCAATAAAAAGTCTATTGACATTGTCATTTGTGATGGTCACTTTTTGGTGGTAGGCATACTCAATGATCATCTTCATAATGTCTGGAGTGATTTCGGGGATGTTATAGAATTTTTTGTCTTCATCGTTCCATCTTTTGGCAAACAAGGCCCTGTACGGACAAGGTGAACACAAGCACACATTAGAATGAATATTAAGACTATTATAAATTAAACATTTACAAAAATAGGAGTGTTCAGCTACAGTGAACACTTATCCACAGAAGAATGTTATAGGTAATAAAACACAGTAACAAGGAAACATAATTGTGCTGCACATCTTTCATTTGGAGTATATATAGCACAGTGCCGATATGGTACTGTGGATCGAATGCTGAGAGTAAGACTGCCTCAGTGACCAGTAAAGGCCAACTGTCACTGAACATTATCAAACTGAAATTCAATCAGTTAGGAGCACAGAAGAAACGTTTCTTGTTTGAGGGCTGATGAACTCAAACACCAATACGGGCATACTGTATGCATATTCAGCAACATATACTGTATGTATTTTTGGCACCT